GTCTGACACTTTTATATATATCTTAAATTAAAGTTAATGTAATATGCTTTATTATGAAAAAAAAAAATTTCGGACTTTATCTTATCTTCATGGTGAAAATGGCTACCGAATGCTATTTTTGTGTGAAAATTTTCGATTTTGTATTTTCCATTTTTAACTTTATTATGCTATAACTTTTTGAAAAATGTATGAATCATTACAATTTTTTTATGAGAAGTAGTATTTATATAGATCTTTCATTCGACATACTGTTTTTTTAAATCGGACCATTTCCCTAAATACAGGGGGGATTCAAAACATAAAAATGCATATAGAAAGTAGAACTTTTTCAACGTAACTTTTGAAAGTGTTCCGGAAGGTCTGACACTTTTATATATATCTTAAATTAAAGCTAATGTAATATACTTTATAATGGTAAAAAAAAATTTCGGACTTTATTTTATCTTCATGGTGAAAACAGACATTAAACTTAATAAAAAAAAATACGATTTTTGTAAAAAAATTCTTTTTTATATTTTTAACTTTATAATGCTATAACTTCTCGAAAGATGTATGGATCAATATAATTTTTTTTTTATATATGCATGATGATATCATTATACTTGATCCATCTATACCACGTCACCACTGTGCCGCGACCCCCCTGTGCTGGGTTTTTTTAAAACGTGTTTTGTACTACATTTATTCTATAAAATTTTTTATAAAATGAAAATTGTAACGACTATATGTCAAAACAATGGATTTTACGAATTTACACAAAACTGTAAGCTCAAATCGGCACGTGTTAAAATTGTTCAAATGGGCTGAAACTTTACATAATCTATATTAAGATATTTCTAATAAATTTTGACCGGCGCTCATAAGAATTACAAAAAAAAAAAAAATCATCATGTATGAATAAGTGGCACCCTAATATGTATATTATAGTAAATTAAAATATAGTTTCTGATATATTAAAGGATATTTAAAATTAAGTTTGTTACATATAGTTGAACGCTATGCTTACCATTATACCTCGGTTCCCTTTTCACCAAAAATATTGACAAGGAACGTATTAAGTTATAAGTTTAATTATGACATAGTATCATGTTTCCTTTAGCCGCACATCACGTTATCAATCTATATGAAAGTATATGGGAATCTGAATTAATTTCACGATGACTTAGTGTTAAGGTTTGTCTCTGTGATGCCTTAGGTTGTGAGTTCTAATTCTGTAGTGTGCCTTATTTTTCCAAGCAGTCGTGTTAGTTTAACTTTTAACTTTACTTACATTTTTTTTACTTGTAATGTATATGATAACTTAGGTGGGTCTCATCATCATCATTGAGTTATTTTAATTTAATAATTAACTTTTTTTTTTTAATTAGTTCAGTTAGTGTTCTATAATTTTGGTTGATAGATAATTAAAATAAAATATATTATTTCCAATAAATTTAAAACAATGAAAAGAAATACGAATATAATTGTTGGACTATTAGACATAACTATGTTTATGTCTAGAACAGTAATTATAGAATTATTTGATATTTAAGTGTACTTTAGTAATATAATAAAATGTTAAAGAGCAGATTTTCTTGTAGTTGTTGCGGCAGATATTTTTAATTTATACTTTCTTATAAAAAAAAATACCTTTTAACAAAGTCAGTAAAAATGTCTACCACCTAACTTACTTCAAGTTTAACCTAATTTTAAACTCAAGTAAAAATGTATTATTATTTATTACAGTAACCAGTTCATTAATTTTACTATTAAAATAGTCACATATAACTTATAACTTATCTTGATTTGTTTAAAACTTTACAATTTAGAACAAATGACTAATTTGATTAGTCTCTTAAAATTGAGACCTACGTTTTTTAAGCTATAAATTGAATAGTAAATTATTGCAGGGTGGTGTAAATAACAAGGTCCAAACTGGATGCGCTTTAAGTCCTTGTGGGAATTTAGTTTTTGGTTGTGGTGAAGATGGTCCTGTTAACGTTTGGGAAGCATACACGGGTAAGCAGTTGGCATTTTACTCAAACCGAAGTTCCTTAACAACTATTGCTCTTAGCGGCGCTGTTGATTATCACCCGCATGATAATATTCTTGCCTTTGGCTTGTATACACCAGCAAGGAATTCGCCAATTTATATAGCTCAATATAAAAAGTAAGTAAAGATAACCAAGTAAATATTGCTATAGTAAAATAGGAAAGAACGGGGCTATATGTTACATGAGTTAGTTGTCACAATGTTAATTATTCCGGAACTAGATTTCGTCGATAATTAAAAATGATATCGTATGCTACAGAACAGTTATCATTTTAATCTTGGTGCACAGCTGATTGAAGTCGTAAATTATGTTCTAAGTTCAAAAAAAAATTTTCTTTGGTTAGTAAATTTTTTCGTAAACTATATTCCTTATTTATTATTGTTTTGTTATTTTAATCAAAACTCCCATTAAATAATACTTTAATTTAATTTTTTATATTTTGTTTTTGGTTTGACACTTTGATGATAGACTATATAAAGACTTTTATGTCAAATAGTGTAATGGGACTTGTTTTCACATACTATGTGGAACTGTTTGTCACATGTGAAAACCGGCTATTTTACAATGTTTATAAAGGAAATAATAATTTTTATAATATTTCTTATCTAAATAGTTCAAATTTAAAAAAGAAGAAACACTGTCAAATGTAATTTTAAGGGCTGTAATAAATGTCACCATAAACAAAATATCTGATAGAAAAGATGCCGAAGGGTTTAAATTAAATTATCACATATTAGATAGATATTGCAGAAAAATACTGAATAACTCAATTATTACTCTTACAGTTAAGGTTGATAGTAGAACGAATAGATTGATTAAAAAAAAATAGAAGGTTAACTAGAGTCTTATATTTTAAGAATTTCTGGTATTTATTTTTATTTATTCTCTAAGGAAATTTGTATAATTAGTATATCAAATATCTATTGAAAGTTGTAATGATATTTCTAAATCATGATATAAAAATAAAATGGTAGGTCCAGATTAACTTATTACGTATTTAGAACGTTATTCAAAGTTATCTATAAGAACATCAGAACCAACTAGTTTAGCTCAAGTTTCTAGTTTTAATCATACAAACTTAAATTCATTCTTGATCACTTACTTACATGGTCATGTTGAAAACAGTGTTCAAGTTCATAAAGTATAGAGCATGGATGGAACTTGACACGGTATCAAACTGATGGAACGACTGTACAATAACTTAATAGGGTAGCGACGATATGTGAATTTAAACAAGTTAAAATAGTTTCAGGAAAGTGAGGTTGGGTTTCTTAGTGACTGCTGCTTGTACATTTCATTTACAGGTAACAATACACCACCATTTTTTGTCTTCCCTCGTGTTCATTATAAAAGTCATTTTGTAGCAAATGTCCGTTAGGTTTCGATGGTTCAGCTAATCTTACTGGTTGGTTGCAGAATATGATTTTGTTTTATTCTTAAAACATTTTTACAATCATAAATTTAATGAAAAATGTGAATCTAAAAGTGATAAAATGATTTAAATTTTATCAAAAGAAACAAATGTTTGACCAAGTATTACAAAAATATCATTTAAAATTTACGAGTGTGAAGAGATAAATAATAGTACTCAAAATTATTCTGAAATGCAAAGAATGATTTGATTTCATAAGAAGTATACAGATAATGATAAATGGTATATATGTCAGAACTATGATTCAAATGATCTAAGTTCTTATTTAAAGTAAGAATTTAAGTTTTTTTTTTCTAAATATTTTTTATTGCAAGTGTTAAAGTAAAAACTTTAATATGTAATTTATCCAAGACTGATTTTATTTATTTCCTTAAAATTGTTTTTATAAGTACAAATTTGTTATGAAAAATTGAATTTGAATTTTTATATTATTTGTCATTTTAATAACCCGGGACAACCAGTCCCAATACTTGTGATAACCAACCTTTAAGTGCGGTCACAATTTTATTTTTATTTTGTACTTTCTCTGTAGTAGAGCATTTGATATTTTATAGTATACTTGTAACAGTTAATAAAAATTGTAGTATTTTCATAAAAAATAAAATAGAAAAATTGTAACAACTAGCCCCGATCTCCTCTAATTTATTTTTAAAATACGTTGTGAAGGAAAGCATTGATTACAGAAATTCCAATTCAGATATAGGGCTAAGATTATTATGTCCTATACAAACAAGCAAGTTTCATCAGAGTAAATTTACTATTCAAGGTCACGACTGTAATTATAAAAAAACAGAGGCAACTATTTGGTCGCAACAAAATGATGAACAAAAAATAAAACTTTTGAAAAATGTTATTCAAAGGATGGATAGCGTCATAAAAACTTACAATTCATAAATATTTTAAAGCCAATTTTTTATACGATATAATTAAAAAAATATATATATATATAATATTAATTTAATGAATGTAATATGTTTATTTGTATTACTATATATTTATAAGATAAAAATAACAATGCAAAATAATATCTATTATAAAATTTATCAATATCTACACGAAAAGTAGTTAATACTGATAATATTGATAAAACATTCAGCAATATATTCTATGTAATTTTAAATTCATAAAAATATTTCTTAAGTTTTTATGAACAATAACAACATCATATGAATAAAAGAATTATAACCTTCAAGCGACTTACAGCGCAACAATTATAGTCATTATTACTTTTTTTTAATAAAGCTGTAAATTAATTTCTGGACTAAGAATTTAATGAAAATTAAAAAGTATTTCAATACTATTTTATATAAGTATTTTTTAGTTGAATGATCTTGATTTTCAGTTATTAATTACTTTTTCAATTTATCCCTTATACTATATTAAAAAATGACTGGTTGATATCAACTTGTGGACCAGTACTTCAAAAGTTGTTAACATTTTTATACCTAAGGGAAGGAGAGTTACAACTGAGAATTTTCTAATGATAAATTCTGTAACACTCATTCCAGTCGGTAAGTATTTCACACGTAAACAAACAGAAAATTAAATGTTTGACAAGTACTACATTAATTTCCTAGAACTTATCTAAACATTTTCATTGAGAGGAGAAAAAGATCATAAATGTTTTAAAGTCATTTGGAAGATTTTAAATAAAGACGCTTGGTAAAATTTTGGTTGATGTAAAAGTTCTTAAAAAGAAATAGTTACTATTGATAATAATAATAACAGTTATATTAGAAAATAAAAATGATACATTTGGGTGGTTTTGGAAACTCTTTTCTTTAAAGCGACGTATTTAGTGTAATCAGTATGCGCTCACAGCATCCAAATTTAACTATTATAAGTAATAAATGATTGTGTACTAAAATCTTCATAAATTTAAAGACGTATTAATTTATTAATGTTTAAAAAATATAGTTGCTATAAATGTTATATCCTAAATAATAATTTATATACAAAAGAATTTGTCAAAATAGATACAATAATTTGACTAGGGATAATATACAAATCTTACTGATTGCAATGTTTTACAAGTTAATTATGAGTTGTTATTTGTTTTAAAAAATGTCGTGAACAAATATGTAAACTATTTTTATGTACTATAAATATAAAGTACAATAATTTTATTTATAATTCTCTAATAATAACTGATTTATTGTAATAAATAAAATTATAATATTGAATTTAATAATTATTCAAGGATTTTCAGGTGCTAAATTTCTCATACTACGCATCGTATTTACATATTAACATATCTAAATTCTCATTAATGTCAAGTAGGCATTTAACATAAGAAACTCTTCAAATAAAGTATACTGATATCTTATATACAATAAGCGTAGAGGGGAAACCAGAATAGAAATTATTTCAATACTCATTACACTATCAATGGTCATTTATTAATATGTTCCCCGTTCAGTCTCGTCTTGTCTGACGAGTCCAGTGTAGTGTATCGACCAGTGCTGCGTTGTTTTTTTATGAATGTTTACATTGGCCTTGTGTGTTTTGTGATAATAACATGTGCAATATACTGCAGAAATGGCCACGAGGAGTAATCGTTGTTTTTACAATTGTATCTTGTGGATTAACATTAAAACAAGGTATGTAAAGAATCTAATATTTAAAAAAAATTACCAACATAATTTAAATTAAAGAAAAATGAATATTAATTACGAAATATTTCTGAAACAATTACCTGTATAACTTATGTTATTAGTGACAACAAAGAGTTATTCTTTGTCGTCTCTTCAAATTAGTGTTACTGCTATAGAAGCAATTATTTTAAGATTGATATTTATTAGTAGGCTACCAACTATAATGAATAATAATAGTGACTACTTCTTTAATTTATTGATAGAATTAATAGTAATTTATATTTATTATTAAACTTGCTAAATTGCTATAAAAGACTGTAACGTAATTTTTTATTTTTACACAATGAGTTTTTAAATTATTAACATTCTCCGTTATAAATGTCAAATATTACATAATGTTATATTATTTATAAATAAAATCGCTACTAAAAATCGTGTAAAAAATTTTTGAAAAAAATTATTTTTAAGCTGCTGTTTAGTGATAAATTATTAATAAATTTCAAATCTATAGTTAATTTGAGTTTATGTTAATATCAGAAATATCAATAAATTAATATTGTTCATTAATACATAAATAATAAGCTATGTGCGTTTCTTAGATTATTTTAGAATAAATAGCAAATTAAAATGTTTTATTGAAAATTAAATTTTTTTAGTTGAGTAGTGTATTTTCTATTTTCCATAACTCAATTCACCAAATACAATCTTTTTAGTCAACAGTATATACTGATTCTATGAACTCATAAATTCTATTTTAATGGGCTATGTTTGAAGTATGTTTTTATATGAAAATGTCATTTATTTCCGGAGTTACGTACATAACTCTCTCTAACTACTATCTCAACAGGATGTGGATAAAATATTAACATCTGTTATATTGTATATTAAATTATATTTTAAAAATTGGAATATAAATTGAAAAAATTTTACTATTATTTGTTATAGTAATAAAAATATAGAACAGTTATAATATTAACTTTTTTCAGTGATTTAAATGCTTATTGTTTTTAAGAAATATATTTATCACAAAATATATATAATATATATTATATTATATATATAATAAACATTTTTTTTCTTCGAATCATATGATATATAGTAAAACTTTATAGGAACATTCTACAAATACCTAGCGCCTATGTTACATCTTATATCGTATTACAACTAAACCCGATCTTCCCTACTCTATACCAGTTACGGTTCAGAAATTCAAATATGGCAAAATTAGTGTATCAAAACATTTTTTACGAAGTTTTGACCTTGTACCAGAAATTCAGTACCATTTAATACTATATTAAATGATAAGTTATGGAATGTGTTTTAGTTAAAAAATAATTGTACTCGGAACTTCTTTTTAAACAAAAATGTCGCAAAATATTCATCATCATTTCCTTAGCTACTATTCCAGCTATTTTGTAAGACAAAAATATTTATTACATCAAAATTTTTAAATGATCAACAAAATATTTCAGTTGTCAAACAAGTAAAATTAATTTATTAATTTTTATACGTTTTTCAAAATATAACCTACTTCTTAATGATTTTATAAAAAATTATAGACATTTAAAACATAAGGTACAATAAAATGGATTATTATGTAGGGCATTATTAAATTCACTATAATTCCGTATGTACCATCAAACATAACTGTTTCTAATAAAATCTGATTGGTTAAGAAAAATCAATTATAATTTGAAATTTTTAATTATTGTACTATTAAAATATATTAATTAAAAACTATGATAGTTAAATAAATTGGAAAATTTAAGTTATTTTGTAATTAACTGTGCATCTCACTTAATTAAATAGGTACATAATTTTATAAAACACGTCATTTTTGAAAATATTTACAAAGAATGATTAATATATTATTTGTTACTATATGTAGTTGTTTACATTAAATTAGTATGGAACCGGTTGGAAAAATTATGTCATCATTATTGTGATACTATAGAGGATTATGATTAGATTAAATATAATTGTTATATCAAACGATGTTTTTGTAAAATAATTAAAGAATTATTTTTTAAGTTATACGTTAATTCATTTAATGATAAAAAAACGGTAGCACAGTGGGGTCGATCACAGTGTGGGGCTGGCATAAATGAGACAAGTATAGATGATATCTGACAGTGATTAAAATCACTATCATAAGAAACATTTCGATACAAATCTGTAGATAGTGTTTAATTTTAAGAAATTGGTGAATTACAAAAGCAACATCAACTCCTATTTCCTTAATTATATCCTGATTAGTGGTCGATTTAAAAATATAATACATGAATAAATACTAATTATAGTAATTACATTTAGTATGAAATTTATATTAAATCATTTAATATTGTAATTTATACGGAGAAATTATTAAAATAGTAAAGTAGTTGTATATTTCTTTACTTTTATCGCATATAAAAATTTAAAGGGCTTGATGCAATACTTTTCAATAAAAACTGTTTGTTACTTATGAATAAATATACTGGACTTCAAGAAACATTTATCAGAATCAAAAATGTACTCTTATAAGAAACTTCTAAGAAATATGGATATAATGACTTTTTTTGATCATCACTTGGATTTTTAGCAAAAAAATTTCTAGGCAAAGCCTAATCCAAAATAAATAAATATAATTATTGCACATCATTAACGTATCATTGTTCAACTAAATGTTTCATACAAAAATTATTTATATGTACATTTACAATAACTTACATTAAAGTAATAAATGTTATACCTCCAAAATTTATTTTTATATAACGAACTTTGTAAATAATTCTTAGGATTTTACTAGTTGTAATAAAATAAATAATAATAATCTCATTATTTGCTAAGGCATACACGATAGTATTATACATACATTTTTATAATTAGATGTCAGCTGTTTTGTATTATTAATTTAGTGACAATAAAGATATCATTGAAGTAGTTATATGTAAATAATGACCCGTAAATTACCAATAATAATTCTTCCATCTTTATATAGTTGTATACGCTTGCAGATCTTTTATTAGTATTTTAACTTATTTTGCTTATAGTATTTTATCAAACTGATTTTTTTTCGTATTTTAAATGAATTTACCTACAAAGTTAATTTATAATAATAAGTATTACGGCTTTTCAATCAAAAAATTTACGGAAGCATCATGAAATTTTTCTAATTTTATATTAACAATCAAATAGTTTGAAGTAAGTTATCATCCAACAGACGGGTACTAAGTGTACTTTTGTATAATTTACGATATGTGCAGTTAAAATTACGCGAGAGTTCTAAATTGGGTATTAAAGAAATATGTTTATTTTGTGCAAAATACTAGAATTTCATGCTGAGATAAACAACATTGTATATTAAAAATCGAAAAATTGTATGATACTTTGAGGCGACTACCAAAATCATCTAAAAGATTAATTGAAATACAACGCAGAAGAACTGTTTGATATATACCACTTTAATTTGTTGGAATTGATTTCTATTGAGAAAAATAAACAATTTTTTGTTATACAAATAGAGAAAGGTAAACAAGGCTGTATTTTGGGCATAGATGGTAAATTGTTTTAAAAAGAAAATATTTTGATAAAAATTTGAAAAAATCGAAGATAGAAAATTTAATTAATTATGTGCAACATATATGAACATATATGTACTACACTTAAACGACGTATTAAGAAACCACGGAAATTAGTATTAAAATTTTCAATTTAAATTATCGCCTTCTTTTGGATACAGGTGCTACATGCTCTGCTATTTCAGAGAACGTTTTTCAACAGTTATGTGAAACTGTTAACAATGTAAAATTGTTACCACAATTATCTGTAACTGGAGTAATCATCTCCATAGCTGTCGATGGTTGTACCAAGAAAATTCACACTCAAGTTTTTTTGTCTTTGTTTATTTCTGATTGCTCCATTGAGTGTATTTTTCTTTTTGTACCGCAGCTATTGGTACCTTTTATTATTGGTGAAGATCTACTTCACAATTATCTTGTGTTGTTAGAGATTATTCTAGCAATTTGATTAAATTTTGCTTATTAGGCATTGAGGTGCCATTTTTTTTCTTATTATTGTGTTGATAATTATTTAAAATTATCTTCAATTAAATTGTATGCTTTTCCAGATTCTGTATATATGTCTGAACCTGACCAGTTAGTATCGGGGACAAAGGGTGTCTGTGGTTTCTCCTTCTACAAAGAATCCATTTGGCATGTATCGAATGACTGACTTAATCAATCCTATAATGGACAATATCCTGCGCCAAATCGAATCTATATAAATTTAAGTGCTGAGCACAAAGCCAAATTATCTTATGTGTTGTTTACTTATCAGGCTGTTTTTAACGACAGACCTGGGTTAAACTTTTTGTATACGTGCCGTTTTGATGTTATAAAAGATGAGCCTTTTAAGGTGAAATCTTATCCAATTCCGTTCTCACACGTCCAGCGGTCGAGAAAGAATTAAATCGTATGTTTGAATAGGGGATGATTAAACGTAATTCATCACCTTATATCAGATCGATCATCTGTGTCAAAAAACAAGATGAATCGGTTCGACTTTATTTAGATACTCTCCATATAAATGCTATTATAATTCCAATGAAGGATTCTTCTCCACCTTTGGACGAGATATTGCAAGATTTTTTGGGGAAAAGTTTTTTTCATCTATTGATTTTTCATCTGGCTATTGTCAAGTTGAACTTCATTCAATGGTACGAAAATATGTTTCCTTTGTTTATAATGATCACACATATTCATTTACGCGTGTACCATTTGGTCTGGTTAAACTGTATCCATTAAAAAAAGCTACCGGAGTTGCAACAATAAATCGAATAATAAACAATTATATACCGTAATGAGGTAAACCGAAATTTATAGCTTCTTATCATGGCATACAATTTATTAGTAAAGTTTGGCAATCTAAGTTATCGATGCTTGGAATTCCACCTACATTGACTAGTGTTTATCATCCACAGTCCAATCCGACGGAATGTTTGATGCGAGTACTAGGACGCTTGTTCG